TTGCCCAGGCTGGGTTTGAACTTGCAATTCTCTTGTCTCAGCTTCCTGAGTAGCTGAGATTACTAGGTGTGCCCCATTATGGCTGGCTCCTGAAATCTTTTTTTTTTTTTTTCCAGCTTCTGAACTCTTGAGGGAGATCTCTGGCAAAAGTCTCAAGAGAGCCATCTGGCACATGGCTGTAATGCCAACACTAAGGAGACTGACGCAGGAGGATCACTGTGCATTCAAAGCCAGATGGGGCTAAACAGTAAGACCCTGTCTCAAAAAGCAAAACAAAGCAAAAGTTTCAAGAGAAGAAAAAGTCTAAATGAAGACAATGAGTATCCTTGGGAACATCAAGCAGGGCCTTATATCCTGAAAACCTCTGTATGTGCAGGGCCAGATCTGTGTAGAAGTAGAGTCCAGGCAAAGGAGGAATGAACTGTGAGTAGTCAGTCTGTGTCACTTCTGGGCCAGGAGTCTGTCTGGCATGCTCAACCCCTCCCCCTCTCTTTATCCTACCAAAGTCTGGGTCTCTAGGTCTGAGACCGGAAGGAACAAAGGGAAAGGTATTTCCTTCCTTCTTATTTTCCCCAAAGCCTAGAGGTTATGAGATCAACATTGTTCTCTTCTAAACTTTCCCCATGTGTGTGCCCAAGTGTGCAGACATGCACAATCCACACTGGCCATGGTCCGATACCCTGACTTCTTCCAAAGCCGGGGGAAGCATCAAGCACTGGACCCTAGGAGCAAATTCATTTTTCCCAGCTCAAGGGACTTACACTAAGAGTCACTGTGATCACTTTAATTTAGGAAAAATCCTCTCCCTGAGAACAGAGTCTACAACAGAGGCTGTCTTTGGGCTTGAAGTCAAAATCAATAAACATGTTCCTTTACTTGGTTTTGTGTTTTTTTTTTCTAAATCCAGAATCAAGTTGAAAAGGTAATTATGTTGAATAAGAAGCTTTGGGTACTGTTTTTGAGGGAGATGATGTGTCAAACTAAGAATAGGAAGGTATGAAGGGTAGAAAGGGAGAAAATGTTCCTCTAACAGCAGTTATCTTGGTGTATAAAGCATCTTTGTTCTCCAGAGCATGGTGTACTCTTCTACTTTTTTATTCCTTCTTACTTTTCTAAACCACAGGAGGCATAGAGGGGGGCAACTCTGCCTAAAATCATTCTGTGGGCTGCTTGGCCACGGCCCTCTGTGGTCCTGTTCTCTGCTCCTGCCCCCACAGCGCAGGTCTAGATCCCCAAGGGCAGCCACTCCTCCCAGAGAGAAGCAGCAAACATGTGTTTGTGTGTGCCCTAGCACTCAACATAATGCCTTGCAAACAGACAGAAGAATGATTTAGAAATGAAAATCACTCCATTCCTCTCCTTAAAATATTTTAGGAAATTCCTGTAAATTTTTTTTTCCAGTACTAGGGGTTGAACTTCGGGCCTTCACACCGAGCTACATACAACCCTATCTCTTTTTAAATTTTTTATTTTGGGCCAGGGATATAGTTCAGTGGCACAAGCGCCTGCTTGGCAAGCACAAGGTCCTGAGTTCAATTCTTGGTACCAAAAAAAAAAAAAAATTTTGCTGGGTGTGGTGGCACATGCCTGTAATCTCAGCACTCAGGAGGCTGAGGCAGGAGGATGGTTGCAAGTTTGAGGCCAGCCTGGGCTACAAAGTGAGCTCAAGGCCTGCCTGAACTGCATAGCAAGACCTTGTCTCAAAAAGACAAAAACAAACAAATAAATTTTTTATTTTGAGACAGGGTCTTGAGTTGCTAAGTTGCCCAGGTTGGGCTTGAACTTGTAATCCCCTTGCCTCAGCCTCTCAGAGTGCTGGGATCACAGGCATGTGCTACCAGATCTGGCTCAGTCTTGAAGGTGGCCTCAAAGAGTTTTATCATTCAACCCACACTGTCATCTCCAACAATGTTTCTCAGTGCTGGGCTCTGAGCTGGTTGGCCTGAGCTCTTTTAGCTCCTCTGAGTGCCTCTGAGAACTTTCCCTCATGGCCTCCCTGTGTTCCCTCTGTATCCTGTGCTTCCTTCTAGCCACACACAGTGTATTTATTGGTAGCTGTCTGCCTGGCCTACTGCTGATGGTGTTTTTTCAGGGCAGAGCATGATATCCCCAGTATTTGGCACATAGTAGAAATGGGGTGAATGAATGCAATTGATCATGTTATGTGTGATTCTCAGGAATCACAACCTGAGAAGGTTGGGGCTGGGGATATAGCTCAGTGGCACAAGTGCCTGGCTGGCAAGCACAAGGTCCTCAGTTAGATTCCCAGTTCAAAAAAAACAATCAAACCACTTTGAGAAGGTGAAAGTGAGTTATTAGTGTCTGGGTACTTAGGGGCAGAGCGACTCTGGAGGCATAAAGAAGTGAGAAAAAAATAATGTAAGATCTATAAGGCATCTATAATACCTAACAGTTACATAAAGAAGGGAGAAAGTTAAAAAGGACACTGCTTTAGAGGGTGCTATGAAAAAGAAGCCTTGAAATGGAGAAGAAGTTGATATATGAAGCTGGGCATGGTGGTACACTCAGGAGCCCGAGGCAAGAAGATCAACTCCAGTTCAAAGCCAGCCAGGGGTACTTAACAAGACCCTGTCTGATACAAAAACATAAAAAGATACATGAATATCCAAATAGGGAACAGACTCCATAAATCAAACAAAATCATATAATCAGAGACCAATTCATCATTGCTCTAGAAGTTTTTTCTTACTGATTTCTAGTTCTGACACATACCTAACTCATGCTAAAATTAGATGTTCCTAGACTTAGACCCCAGTGTAGATAAAGCCAAAGTTTTCTAAAGAGGAACAACTTCTACACTGTGTTTTACTTCTATTCAATATAGACCTATTTTTTTCTTTTACTTCAATTGCAGAGTACAAGAAGCAGCTTTTTAAACTGAGAAGAAAGACTCTTTGACCAAAGGATTCATCCATGTGTATATTATGCAGCCATTTTTGGGACAAATTGCAGCAGGGGCAGAACAGTTGAACGTTGCTCTGCAGACAGTGAAATGTGAGAATGAGTTCAGTCAATTCAACCTGCAGTAAGGACCAGGACACACAGGTAGGTAACTGGAATCACAACCTGCAACAGAGCCTCGGGCCTCGTGTGGGTGCTTACCCTCCTGGTCTCTATAGGTAGCTTCTTCCTGCTGGGTCTTGGACTAGAAGACCCCATCTTGGCCCTGAGGTGAGGGAAGAAGCCCATGAATGTTACTGGCAGTGGCAACATTACAACGTTCCAACAAATGGGGCCCAAATGAATATTTTAGCAGGTTGGCTATTTTTATACCATTCCTAACTGGCAGAAAAAATTGCGTGGCCAAATTTTCATTAGGTGCTACTTTAATTCACAATAGAATCCTAATTTGAGACACTTAAGGATTTGGGATTTGAGAAATGGAAAGTATGACTAATAGTTGTCAGTTATCAGATTCTAAAACACCCTGTTATGTAACAAAACTCAGAAAGGGAAGATCTGAGATCTCATCTCCATGGAAGGTTCAGTTGAATGGAACAGACCAAAGCTTCACACAACCACCACACATTGCACCCAGTGTGGAAAGGAGCGCCCTAACTCTACGCCAATATGCATATCTAGAAGAAACAGGGTGCTGCCTCACCACCCCTGAGCATCTAGGGGCCTATACGGACCCAGGAAAAGAGGAGCTGTCTTCTGTGACCCTGGGCTGAACCCACCTTGGGCTGGGTAGCAAAACTCACCTTGGATTATCCTGGAAGGCCTCTCTGGGATGCTAAAACTGAGTTATCTTACTGATTCATTCCGTCCCTGACAGAGAATCAAAAGAGTCTAAATAGCTGGGTGTGATGGTGCATGCCCATAATCCCAGCACTTGGGAGACTGAGGTAGGAGGATCACCATGAGTTCAGAGCCAACCTGGACTCCTTAGTGAGCTTAAGGCCAGCCTGAACTATACAGTGAGAACCTGTCTCAAAAAGCAAAAAAACAAAGAGTCTAAGTAGCCTTTACAATAGCAACCTCAACATGTTAGGTATGCGATCAACATTCCTCCACCAGTTGATGCAGTCAACATTCTTTCTAATAATTGATGTGTTCAACATTGTAATAAACAGTGTGTTCAATGGGGTGTGGTGGTGCACGAGTAAATTCCCAGGATTTGGGAGGCTAATGCAGGAGGATTGTCTCAAGTTGGAGACCAGCCTGGGCTAGATAGTGAGATCAAGGCCAGCCTGAAATACATAGGGAGAACATGTCTCAAAAAGACAAAAACAAACAAACAAAAATAATTATTGTGTTCACTATTGCCCCTAATAATCAATGTGCAGAATATTCCTCTTACTAGCTGGGTGTGGTAGTGCATGCTTATAATCGCAGCACTCCGAGGCTGAGGTGGGAGGATTGCTGTGAGCTCCAGGCTAGCCTGAATGCATAGACATCCTGTCTCAAAAAGACAAAAAACAAACAAAAACATTCCTCTTATTAGATCAATGTGCTTGACATTCCCAACAACTGGTGCTTCACCTAATAACCCCATACGCATCATCTTGCAAGCATTTATATTTCACTCTGGACTACTCTTAAGGTTCCAAAAGCTTACTGCTCACTGGGTAAAACAGAATATTTTATTTGTTCTTACCCTTTCAAGGCTTTCTTTCCAGTTTTTTTTTTTTTTTTTTTTTTTGAGACAGGGTCTCACTATGCAGTTCAAGCTGGCCTTGAGCCCACTTTGTAGCCCAAGCT